ATGAGCAGGATCCTTCCATCCTTTTCTCGGATTGGGACCTGTTCATATACGTTCTTGGCAGCTGATCCAGAAGTGGTTTGCCATTGCCTTCTTCTGTGTGTGAATGGAGTAATTGTTGGGATGCCACGGAGGAAAACTCCGTGTTGCCTAGACCACGGCCTTGCCCAACACGAGTTATAAATTCGAACCCGAGACCCCAGGATTACAAGGCCAGCGTTCTAACCGCTAGACCACCGTGGCTATAACATTACTCCATTAACCACCTCTTAACATAAATCGATTTAACTGTATAAACTATTTACTAACAATTCTGTTTTATTTATTTTTTTATTGATTATTTCACGACGCTTATTCAGTAGCTAAAACTATACAGAGTCGAATGAGAGTATAATATAGTTAATAATGAAGGCAGAACCTTAAATCTCACTCAATTTATTTTAAAATACCGAGATTATGATGCTGAGTGTGACAATGTGGTGATCCTTGGAGGTTAACACGAAAAACTGTTGGTACTATCGCATGTATGACTCGTTATTTCGGGAGCAAGTTAAAATCGTATCGAATTTAGCAAGATAGTTTGATTTCGAATCTTTGTTCTTCGCAAATTCCAAGATGTTCGCCAAAAACATAGATCAGGTTCCGAATACATGAGCGACCCACAAGCAGGCCACCAGCTAAACCAATATTTCACTGAAGTTTATTCTAAACGATATAATGAACTGTATTGATTCTTACATGAGGTCGTCTGCACTTGATGACGTAAAAGGGATACTACATACGTAATTAACGCTATCATGTAGGCATATGTCATCATCATAAGGCAAATTATTACATTTTGAATCAATTTAATGACGTTATTAGTGTTTCAACATCCAATTCAGTCAGTTAAAAAATTGCGACAAAATATAAAATCTGAATAAATGTGCGTAGGACAAGATAAAGACCTCAAGTTTACGTCAGGTTATCACTTGCAGAAAACTAGCAAGCGCCTTGGTATTTCAATCGCTCCTTGAACCCAGTAGCGTGCCAGGCCTGTAAATAATTAAGTTTTCTCCCCGTAAACAACTTTCACGCAACCGTATTAAAATATTCATTGACGGCTGAAATATAATATATCACATTTTCACAGAAAAAATAAAATTCGGTTCGGATATTTTCTCTTCATGGCTCGACAAATTCCAATCCTTCTCAATTATTTAAAAGACCTGCACTCAATAAATGGGTATCTTAGACGGAATGAAATATATATAATATAATGCACCAGTAACATTAGGCCCTACATTATTTATTATATGACCGAACACGTGTGAACCCTGAACTTAAAACGTACGGTTTAATATTCATCAGAACATGAGACTTAAATGGCACTGAACCTCGTGGCATAAAGTTCAGAGCAGGTTCTATTGACATTATTTACATATGACACGAAGCGTAATTTTATAGTACGTAATGGCATAAATACCAGCTTTTTAATAATAATAATAAAATAAGTTTTCCAACCCTAAATAAAGCGACAACCTCCCTTATAATCCGTCCAACCCATTCTCCCGAGACTGGCACCGAGAGACTGAACCTTCTCGTCGTGTGTAAATCCATACAATATTGCCAACCTGACAGGCACACAATTTTGTTTTACTTTGCGATACTGCGCGTACCTGAAAAATATCGATATGAAAAATATCGATTCTTCATTCAACCGCGTTACACAGCATTCCTAATTACGAACTGATAAATATGTAGAAGGAAATAGTCGTGGTATTGTTTAGGTGTATTATCCCATAATTTCCGGTGGTACTGAATAAAATAACGAAAAATATTTGTTATGGTAACCGATTTCTGGATCGGTATTCCAAACTCTTGACCTCAGAGATACGACGCAAAAACACTACCTACAAGGCGGTGAATATCAAAGGATCAGAGATGGCGTTGGTGGGCAGTGACCAGATGGCCTACGAACACGAGGTTCGCCCACGAGGGCGAAGAACAATGAAGCATCCCGATATTTCCTGACATCATCTGCGAGGATACCAACAACATAAAAAACTACCAATATATCTGTCTGAACCTTCTGAAAAGAATTTCATACGACGTGCATTATTTATGTTACCAAAGTAAAATTAAAGTTGTCCACTTTACGTCTGGAAAAAATTCTGCCGTACCCAATCGACAGGAGGCCGGTCTGAACGCAGGGGCTAAGAGAAAATTGCTTTATCCCTACCAGTAATATAACCCACAACGTCCAGGTCGTGGCTTTGTCGCTGTATTGACTGACCTATGATTACCAACAGCTGATAAGAAATGTAATTTAAATTAAATTAACGTGAAGAAGAGTACTCCATAAAATGTGGATACTCTGCATTTACGAAAGCCGAAGGTACATGAACAAACTTCCACCGGAAGCCATCAAAAAAGATAAAAACCAGATCACTCTCTCAAAACCCCTTTTATTTCAAGAACCATTTTAATATTCATACACGCCTGTCGTATATCTCCCACGTAATCTCCTTCTTACCTTAAAAATGTTCAACTTCAATGCAAAACGCATTTCTCAACCTCCTACGTGCTAAACGTCAAATTCGATTTTATGGTTCTAATATTTAAATTAAATTAAACTAACTTAACTCCACGTAACAGAGTCGTTTTAATGGAACGATGATTTTTTTGTATAAAAAGCCGGAGAAAGCAGGGTCGAAATTCGAACACGAAGCTTCCCAGAATATTAACGATGGGTTCTGTATTTCCTTAGTCGGCCAGCAAAAGAAATGGCATTATACTTTCACGGAAAGTAAATATTATTAGTACGTCGCGGTTGAGTAGTTATAATATCACATACGCTTCGTATTAAAAGAAACACGTGTTCAAATTCCGGCCAGGAATGGAACTGTTTCCGGCACTTTTAAGTTATTTCGGGAAAATGGTGGGATAATAGACTGACACACTCGTCGGTAAAAAGTGCAAAGAAATGGCTGCAATCTCTTGGCGAATGTTTTGTTCAAGGTCGTCAGAAATTCGAAACACCTAATCCAGTTGTGTGTATGGACGCCGGTGGCGACAAAAATAAACCGGGGGCGGTGGGAAGGTTAAACTCGCAGAAACTCAAAACGAAAAAGAACCTACGTAACAGTTAATGAAGAAAAATTATACAACCGTGAGTTACCGGAAAAAACCCCAGATTGAATTCAACACTGAGTTACAATTAATTTATTCTCACAGAACAAACATTTCATGCTGGAAACGATACACTGCAGGATTCCTTGCCTTGTCGATATTAGAATAGGCCAACACCTCAAGTGCAATATTGTGTTGGACAAGTTTACAAGTTAAAACCCTCGTCATTTGCACTCCACAACCCCACCAAACAGCCCAAAGTATTTTATACACTTCGTCGCGTAACGTTTCATTAGATTAAAACACAATAAAATAATAAATTAAGTTACAATCAAGATAAAACTATTCCAGAAAATCTTCCAGCTTTAAACGAGCCATTCGCTATTCTAAAATAGTAAAGACTTCACAGATAATGCCGTGTTGTTTACTAAAAATGCTACGTTAGATTTTTATTACATTGCTGTCAATGTACAAAATTATTTTTGTTTAATAATATGACGTCAATGCCGTCCCGTGTTTTTGTTATTTTTGAGAACCTGCCTACATTACGCACACTCCATATGTCATCTGTTTTAATTTGGCGGTCACTTTAACATACACGCATAAAACATAACATAAACACATAAGAGTTAATTACAAGCCTATAAACTCACCTAATGAGGAGCATAGCGCCCGAAACCACACCGGTATCATAGCCAAACAGAAATCCTCCTATTGTACTCAGAAATGTCAGAACGTAAATAAATGTGGGCGTTCGAGGCCTGGACTTCTCTTGTACAAGATCTTCACTACTTGTAATATTACCCGTTGATTCATACTTAGTCGTCATCATCAAATAAACACATGCAAGACGGAAATTTGGTGCTGCTCTCAAAACTCACAACTGCACTAACGAACGTCGAGCACAACATTGGCAACTTTCACTCTGCTTGCATACTTCTGCCATATTGCTCTCGTTGTATGGGAATCGATTGCTGGATAAGTAATAATCGAAAGAGATCTGGTAGCATTCGAGAGAACTAGTATTCAATATGACCGACAGATTACACTACTAACCACGCAACCAAACCTGTTAGCCTATTCAACAGAAGTGTTTAGTTGGTAAGAAACGTGTCAGGCGCACATTTCAAACATGTCTGTTGTGCGCAAATGCAACAGAATGCTACAAATTTTTAATAATAAGATTGCAAATGTGCAATATTACCGGAATAGACACAGATTCCAGGCGCGCTCTTTGCCAACCAACCTTGTCTTACTAAATATTTCCGTGTGTCCTACCCTAGCCTTTCATAACGTAGTCTAACCTGCCTTAACCTCAAATCACCATGTTTACCCTGGTTATCTTAACCCACGACTATAACGGATTGTAACACCCTGAGTGGGTCTCGACAACTCTCACGCCAGTAGAATTTAAACACTTTAAGTTGAGGAGTTTACGTTAGATCGTAACAGATTTGCTCGAACCGGACAATAGAATTAAATTTAGCCCTTCTCTCCGAGCTAAATGGCTAATCAGCTATAATGCTAAATTTAATTTAAAACTCTGGCTAGGCGCCTAGATGTCTGTGACAGTGTAAACTTGGCTTGGCGACAAAGCACTGTGTGTTTTTGAAGTTCGCAATGTTAACTCGATGTCACTGTGAATATTAAACCAGTATCTCTGAAATTTAGTTTATTAATTCAAACATGTATGATTGAGGGATTTTACATGAGAATAATATGGATACTGCTAAGTCGTCGACATTACGAAGACTCTACCTTTAATTTGGTGTGAATTTGAAGTGAACTACAATGCACTGGAGAACTACATTCGTAGTGTGACAAGATACCTATGTGACTGACAATTAATATAACAAACAGAGCTGCTTGTTTCGGTAAATCAGGCATAAATTTTACGTGAGGTGTAATTGAACCTATATGATTAAGTTACCTGTCAAAATGTCAACTGACCACAAATGACACTCACTCAAATAACATCTGATTTTCCTCGGAGATAACTCATTGGCTTAACCTAACCATATTTAAAGCAAATAAACCTGAGAAATTTCTTTATTGCAGTCGAAACTTTACACATCACAATACCCCGACTTCAAGATCGGACAGGAACTTCAAGGTAAGACCTTTTACATCTTTGGTTCTTAGTTCAACATCACATCGTGAGTGTGTATGGGGAAATGGAAATATTGTATACCTACACACAGTCTTATCGTGGCACTACATGAAAACGAGTAATTAGCTTCGATACCCAATCGATTTACCCTCGAGGAAAAAAACAATCGATATCCTTGGACACGATGCTGAGTGGACCTGAGACCCTTTCCGAATGTTGTGACGAGGAAATAGAATAATTTTTTAACGCGTTTTGAAATTTAAGATAACTGTTGTCTCAACATGCTTTATATGTGCCATAAAAATTCATGATTTAGAACTAATTCCACATTTAACGAACTCTCTTAATAAACCGCCAATAGAATTAAAACGTTTATGACAAAATTAACGTAGATTGATCTTCAGATGTTTCCTACTGTGGTGGGAGATTATAGAGTGGTCTATTAATCGACACTTATGGACATAATCACGTTCATTTCGTCAAGATAGACGACGAATTAAATATCAAGATAATTGCTCATTTGAAAAACTCACCTGATTTAATTCTCATATCTTTGTCTGCTTTTGAAAATAAAAAATGTGAGGTTGTCATATTCCATCAGATAAAGATCTGAGCTGTTCACGTCTCTTTCATAACTGAGATGCAAGATAAGATACGTATTCTATATCAAAGTGCAAAGGTAGTAATTTGCTTCAAATAAATAATTAAACAAAATCAGATTCTTTACGAATTTTCAGTACTGATAGCCCTTACTAATTGTTAACCGTAGCTGGCAAATAACGAAGTAAATTTAAAGATCTCCGAATAAAAAGTTCCGTAAATAAAATTAAAATATTCAACCAGCATCTCGAACAAACTGTCACTTTCTGTCGAAGAGATTAGATACTCTTACCTCCGGAATTCCACGCTATTGGCTAAGAGCTGAGAAATGTTCACACTCTTTGCTGCAGAATGATAGATCGATTCTAAATCGATAGTTCCCTGTTTTGAATCTCGACCCGGAAACAGGCTAACGTGATTGAATTTAACGGTGGTTTACTCCATGACCAAGATATGAACTGGTTGTTGTAATGTTAGGATTTAATTAAAATTACATCACTTGCTCCCTGGTAATCCTCACCAAATTTCTACCGTCACCGTAAAATTAGTCATAGAAATACGTTAAATCACAAATTAAGATAAAAAAACAAAAATATAATAAATTTTTGTCCTCAGGTTTTCGCGGTCGGAGTCCAATGTGTAACTTTGGCTTTCGGGAATAAGCCGTGTCGAATTTTAAGAACTGTCCGACGTTTCGGCAAAAAAAATGCAGTTGTCTTTTTCACATTACACTGAAGATAATAATTGTAATTTTTACCGAAACGCTAGACAATTCTTAACATTCGACGAGGCTTATGCCCGAAATTACTAATACCGTCAATATTCATGACTGACAAAGTACAGTCAACGCAACAATGCTATTGAAGATAAAACCCCGTCGCTACTCGAACATTTTAATCCACATGTGACCACGAAAGAACAGAGATAAGCTAGATAAAATGTCAATAAATTATCAAGTTAGATGCAGTTGTCTGCAGATGTTTTAATGTGTCAGAAGTGAAAACAGTTTCGATTTTAAAACAAACATGAGTGACGAAGTACAGCAATATAGCTTGGAGGAAATTAAAGTACATAATACCAGTGAATCTGCTTGGTGCATATATAAGAATGGGGTATATGACATTACAAAATATATCGACGAACATCCTGGAGGTGGAGAACAGCTTCTAGAAGCTAGCGGAGGTGACATGACAGAAGCATTTGACGATTTTGGACATTCGGATAACGCTCTTCAGATATTGAAGAAACTGAAAATTGGTGAGCTGAGAATTGAAGACCGTACCACGGATAAGAAGACTGAGGGCAATTGTAGATGTAGAAAGTGTTGTGTTATCATGTGACAGAAATAACAGAGGCTGTCTTAGTAGAAAATACTATTAACAAATCCCACAAAACAAATTCAAAAAAAAAATATTTACGTTAACCTGAAATAAATCAAAATATTTTATAATGTGATTGTGAAAAAAAAAATACCGAAATGAAGATTTTGTAAATTCCATACTTCAACTTATGAGCTGGGGTTAATTTAGTCTGTAAATATATTACATTCCGATATTGTTATTTATTTTGGTATAATATAATATATGAATTGTAGTCGTATAATTGTCTACTTTTACTGAACTTGCATTTCGTAAAATTGATAACTAATCGTCAAAAAATCAGTTATTCCGCAAGCTCTAAGGAGATTAGCATGAGAATTTCTATCCGATTTAGATAACAGGTCGTTGGTTCTAAAGTAACAAGATTCTAACACCGCAGTGTAACCTAACTGAAATAATTTAAAACGTATTCTGTACGTCTGGTTTTGTCGATAAAACTCTAAAATGTGGTAAAAAAAGGATCAATGTCAAACTTTAGCTCCTTCCAGCATGCTACTAATTACTTCCATGAATATGATGAGGGACATTTTTTTGCTAAAAGCTTGGAGTAACTTAGAGAAACTCTTTACAGATTTGAACTCATCTCCTCTTGGGTTACGACACGTTTTAATGCAATAATTAGGAATAAAGGCATTTTAATACACACAGTTCATCTGTAGTTGAAACTTGACAACAGAAAAATAAATATATGTATGATATTCTGACCATACAATGCACAATGAATATGCATAATTATATAATTTACGTCTATAATACCTAACCTAACAAAGTCATTGTGAATCAAAAGTCCACCACATGAGTGGAATGTGTTTAATGAAGCATACAATTATCAGCTTATCACACAAAAACAAAGGAGACTGATTGTTAATTCTTGGGAACAATTCTGAAGGTCATTAAAACACTTATGCCTGATAAGGAAACAATGATCTCATACAGACAAAACATACGGTTGATATGTTCTAAATTACTGTCCAATGCTACAAAAATTAAATGACTGCTTATATTAAATTGGCTTTCATTCTGAAGGGTTTCTTCAAAGCAAAAACAATGTACTAATTACTTTTTTCCAATAGCCTAGTGTTATTTAAATCAAGGCTTCTCATCCTTTGAGCTGCTGATGGATTTTGTATAGCCTGAATCTTTTTAAGTATAATTGTGAAATGCCTATTAAAATCATATGCACGTAACAATTCAAGAAAGGCTGAAGAGATTTATACAAATTAAACATTGCAGAGAAACATACAAATTTGTAATACTAACATGTTCATCCTCTTCTAGTCTGAGTTCTGAAATACTGTATTCTCACAATTTTACCCACTTCAAATGAATAAAGATGTTAAACAAACTGAATTTGACATACTAAAAGTTAGTTATAGTGATGAAGGAAGTTTCTTAATGATATGAGACAAACTCCAAATAAAAATACTAAATAATATTCTAATTTGTGAGGGATTCCTTATAACTTTATAATAAAATGATAAGCAAGCCTATTATTTGCATTAAAGGAAATAAATTTATTTCAATCATTTGTTGAAATTCACTTAACTAGTTTAATAACTGTTTCGCAACATTGTATGTAATGTTGCACAATATATTAATCGTTTAATTTGGGATAATTTTTAAATTTTAACTAGGCTGACAGTGTCTTTCCCTTAAAACTGATACAACTTTTGAAACTTGGTTCATTCAAAATACTAAACACAAAATAACTGTGCTGCCTTCCATGATGAATTTCTGTAAAAGCATTATAAGTGGTCTCAAACTGGCGGGGGGAATGTTTTTCAAAGTATAAGGATTCAACTTATTCCTGAATTCACTCCAACAGGTAGAGTCCACTTTAGCATAAATGTGTGGGTTAATATCATAGAATATGTCGTAATTAGCCCTTACCTGCTACCACGTCAGCTGGATGCTCAATGACGTTCTTCAAACTGTCCTGCTGGGATAAACCGAAAATGTGCCCCCGTGACAGGATGTTACGATTCAAGTATGACAGCGGCGCGGTTGGACACGACAAACCCGGGAAGGTGGACTGGATGGAGGGCTCACTGCATGGCCTCCTCCTCAGTCACCTGACCAGACCATGTATAATAAATACAAGATCAAAAAGTATAAAACACATGAAAAACACTCTTTGGGCATGTCAACATGAAGCCAGCTACAACACTAATTCCTCTTGTTTTATTCACACACAAACTCTGAGTAGTTCACAGAAAATTTTGTTGTTTAGATATCAGATACATTAAATAGTCTATTATAAAAGTACATTTCAGTTCTCATTACAAATTTGAACACAAAAATATTGTATACAGTAAAAGCCACTGATACGCTCTCACACGAATAAGACAAGACAATAAGGGAATTAGATTTTTCATCAATATTTCATTCACAGCAAGCATGCATTGGACATTATAATTTATAAATAAGAAAAGGCTTCAAATATATACAAGACAACAATGACAACAACTGGTTATGTATTTATGTTGTGTATACAAGTCATGAAACGGTATAGATTCCAATACTTCTGAACAACTTTGTATACATAATGTGTTATTCTCATAACCTACAAATAACAGTATTTAAACACCTTTCTTCCCTCTTTCTGAGTCTTGGTCACAAGTTTACTCCATATAAAGTAATGGCAGAAACTTATTTACATATATACATATACAAATAAACATTCTTTATAAAGTGGTATAAGTATTGATAAGAATAATTTCCAATACACAATGCATAACTTGGGCTTTTGGGTATGAGCCACATTGAATATTCAATGAAGTTCACACCCAAAAGTTGAGGTTATACATTGAACTCCATCTGAAAAACCGAAAGATAACAATTCCTACACAGTTTATATCCTGTACACAACACACCCAAAAGAATGGTTGGTACACCAACAATAAATAAATATAAAACTATAATTACTTACTTAATGGCCTTGAAATTGGTTTGGTACAAACTTTTTATACATGTAAGATATTACATGCAGCACACCACAGATGAAATCCTATTCATTTATATTAGATTTTTTTTTTCTTTTTAAATACATTTTCCCTTAGCAAAAACAACATTTCTTTAAAGCTAATGTTTGCTTAGAATTATAGGTACCTGTGAATGGAAAGAGACTTATAATATAGATATGAATATTTTACGAAGTTTTAAAATAATAAATAATTTCCCTGCATTGAGTAACAATTGACAATCTAATAACATCTGTCCATCAGGCAATTGTTCACTGGCTTTTGAATCTCTTAACTTAATGTGAATTTACTTTCCAATACTCTTGCTGGGAAAGGCAAGATAATTGCACTATATAAAAGGAAATAATGGAGTGAATTATGAAAAACTAAATTATTCAGAGATCATACTGAAAAGGCATGTAATATTACTCTAATGAAGATAAGTAATTAAACAACTGTGGGTCCTTGAAAATGAAAGCTGGATTTAGTTGATTAACTATTACAATCAGTTACTTCCTCAATTAATGCTCAGCGAGTTTAAAAATCACAGTTTTGTTTATAGGTGACCTCCATGTTGGTTATAATAACTTATCTATTTATAGCTCCATGCCTACTGCTCTATTTATCACCACCAGTAATTGCACATTCCTGTATCGCACAGTGAACAATCCTTGTCCGTGGACAGCAGCTAGTATTTGTAGATATCGTAATCCTTCCAGGAGCTACAGGATGTTAACAGGTGTCCACAATGCAAATACACAGGCTGGAGGCCATGAAAAATGTCATATTAAGGGAGGAACAATCACATAGCTCGCAAGGCTGCTGTAACAAGCTCTTGCAACAATACAAAGTGACAGAACATTTTGAAAGCATTATGTGGGGGGGGGGGGGGGGGGGGGGGCAGAGGGCATGGAAAAGTTAATATTTAATAATTGTGAAATAAAAAGGGAACAATTATTAAGTACTTTGAAAGTAAAATAATAACAAAATTAACAGCTAAAGATGAAAAAATGCAGGCAATTTTTACCAATTAAACATACTATGAAAACTGGAAATAACTATTTAAAAGCAACTACACTGTGTTAACGCTTAATGCAACCGTTACTTCCCAGCTTCTGATAGGAACTTCTGTAATCAACATAAAAATATTTCATTTTTGAGCAATATGTAACTCAGTTTGGGAAAACCTTGTAGCGCTTTGCAGTGAGTCACACAGTTCCAGCAAAGCTGGAAAGTGACAGCTGTGTACAATTTTATCAGCGAATGCATCGTACATGCCCATATTAGGGAAAAGAGCAGAAACTGACACATTATAGATGCCTTTTATCTTATGGAAATTCCTAGTATCTTGAAATTCAAATTGTATATGAGACTTACAGAGAGATTAGTGCAGAGGTATAAAATTACAAAACTCTGAATTATGTTAAGAAACTATGTTGCTGTGCCTGTGTGAATCATACTGTTCACTTTTTCTATTCCTTATTAGTAGCAAATATGGCACAAGTCCACAAACAAGTGACTTAAAACCTTCTGATAAGCAAAGTTCATTGACAACATTAATTAAGAACATGCATTAAACAGCATGGTTTTATAAGTTACATAAACTCCTATTCTCCTCTCCAACATGGCTCATTGGTTCAGGGGATGTTTTATGACATTACATCAACTGAAATGATTACATGGCACTGAATGAGATAATTCTTATGTTTGATGAAGTCATTAATTAATTATGCTCTTTTTATGTGGCACACTCTATACCTTTGGAAAATTGTTTAAATAACAAAAAGAATCTTCCATAGAATTATTCCATAAATATGACTGATTATGTAGCTTTTCAGCATTTCATAGCGACCACAAGTCAAGCTCATTATTATCAACATGAGTATAATTTGAGTACTATAAGTCATTTGAAGTGAACTCAAATTAAATTTCATGCAAGATAAAGATGTTATTAAAAGTAAACGAAAAATCACTACACAATGGATCAGTGATAAGGAAAATGATATTTCTACAAACCACTGTATCAGTTATTATATAGCTTGGTTTATATGTATAACTGATTAACATATCTTAAAAGGGTTCTGATTAATGTGTTGATAAAGTAGTTTCACTACTGCCCACTCTCTTTTCTAAGTTTGTAATTCTAAGGCCTCATCCCCAGCCGATAAGATACAAGAATGCGAGTCTAATAGGAATTTCCATTCCCTCATACACACTCACAAAGATAAAGTAATAAATCATTATTCAGACGTGGCATGTAAATATGCTAAAGAGTGAGTAACTCTCTCATGACTCTCCTTTTGCTGCGCATTATAAAAATCAATGTGCCAAAAATACGTCATACTTCAGCAACATGTCATGCTATAAAACTGTTTAAACACAAAAAAAATAACAATTCTAATGCACACTGCACGACTCAGGAGAAAAATTAACACTATTTATCAATAAAGACTTTGTACATGTACACCAATATCTTGCATTTTCCTTCTGCCTCCTGTTTTTCCAACCACCGTACCTGGTTTTAGGTATCTGCAGTTTTTGTGTATACATTGAAAAAATCAGTACCTTCTACAGAAAGAGATCACGTTGTCATACGCTAGCAAATTTAGTCAATAGAGGGAATTTTTCATATAAAATAATTATGTATAAATACAAATGAACACAATATGGTATTAAGGTTAGGAAAAAGCAGTTACTAATGCTTTTTAGTTTTGTTGGTAAAATGATTTCAGTCTTCAAAATTATAATATACTGTGGTAACATACATCCAGAATTCTATTTCAAAGAGAACTACTATATGTACATCAGCAAACTTCAAGATTGTGACTAATACCAGACTGTGATAGGGAATACAACTGCTGATAATGTTTATTTTCAATAATTTTCTCAGTCGCTAAGTAACCTGTTGAGTTACACGCTGGATGCTGAAGAAAACATGTGTTACACATTAAATGTAAAAGCTGTTTTTGATTTATAAAAATAAATATAAAAATAAATCTACACAAAATTAATACAAGTGTTCAGTTCTTTAAACTTAAGAATCCCATTTCAATTCCATTCCATGAACACATCATTAAAAATATGTCATAACTTTGATAAATATTACTGCAAAAAACACATTTCAAAACATAAAAATATGTAACTGAAAAATAAAGATAAGATTTCATACATATAAATAAAGGTTCTGATATTGAATGACAGACCTGTGTCATATAATGTCATCCCACACTCAGTACATAAGTTCTAGCCAGGACTTTAGGGAACACAATTTTGCAGTCAACACTTGAACTCCAAAGAGTTACCAGTACAGTCATGTAATTTAAAAATTACATGCCAAATGGCATTACACCACACACACAGTCACATAATAAATATTTCCAACATACATGCCAAATATGCACACACGCATGCACACACAAATATACAACATACTTTTAAACTGAGGTAATAAAATTATACTTAAGTAATATGAAAACAAATGTAATTAACATTTCAGTCTCATGACTCAGTAGTCAATATATTATCAAGATCTGAAGTGACGACAAATACAGGACTTGCCGAATAGTAGTCATTGATGTCAAAGAGCTCCGATTCATTTGGTCCTCGGCACGAACCACTCTGCTGTCTGCTGCATTTCCTTGGCAGTAAGAATACCAGAGACAGGGCAATCACAATATGCCATGCGCTATGTACGTACTGCAAGACAATAAAATACAGATCTTAAACTCAAAATTACTACACAATGCATAAAATATAGCATAATATTATATGAAGGATATTTAGTGCCGTGTGTTAACACAACAAAACAATTACAATATTGACCTCGAACAGCTAGCTGATGGAAATATTGAATTATGGAACAAAAACTGCGGTCTTATGCACAAACTTTTTAAGGTATTATTTCTGAAATGGTAACGCAAAACACAAAATAAGAATCCAAATACTGTTTGAGAATAAAGCTAGCAATCAGAAATAAGAAAAGGGTCAAAAGACAATTTAGTGTTTAAATAAAGAATTAACAACAACCCAGAAGACAGAAATATTAAAGATTTAATAACCTGAATAAAGATGGAAAAACAACTTGAAATGTGGATTTAATTGACATTTATTAATATTACTGAAGTACTGCTGTTGTTAACACTGCTGTGCTTGTTGTCATGAAAACTTTAATTAGTATTTATGGGCAAACTTATAATACTGAAAGTGAACATTTCACACTTTATCAGCAAGATTTTCAGTTTAATTGGGATCTTGCATGAAAATTAAACTGTGACCTTAAAATTGTGAACATCTATCAGTATTATCCAATATCTCAGTAAATATAATTGCCAGGAATATTTTAGTTTCTATAAAAAAATCTTGTTTACTCCGAAAATTTACTTTTTTATTTCCCTTTGAAATTTGTATGAGAAGAGTTTCTGAGTAATTGCAACGCAACGTACTTGGTAATTGGCCTCAGTTTCGACAAAAGCGAAGAGAATGAGACCGACGGCAGCCAGAAGTACTCCTGGCAGGAGCAACAGCACCAGTGAACGCTGTAGGTGGATGCATGATCGTTGGCGACAGCAGCGTATGCTCCATGCTGCCACCTGTAGTAATTATGATTGTAAATATATGTAGACAGTACTATTATGAGGCACAATGTACTAAATACCTCTTAACTAACAAGAAAATTTCAAATTCTGTATTTATACTCGACCGTTGCCCTGACTACCATGAGGTATCTCAGGTTCATGATATATATATATATTAACCCGCATTAATTTGGAAATGGCTGGGGGTTCGTCGTGCTAACCACACATCACCCTATATCTGATTGGATGATCGTTCACCTCTGCTTAGGCATGTGAACGTGAGGCCAGGGGCCAGCTAGTCGACTTTGGTTCTCAGAGGGCTGTTACGCCATGGATTATTATTATTATTATTAATTTGGAACTGTATTTTTTCTTCTGTCCCACCATTACAAACCAAGCTAATTTCAGCTGTGAAGAAAAAAAAACAATTATAAGACTCTAAATCTGTCCGTAAATAACACAGTATGATTAAATATTTTTCACCAAAACGCATCAATAATTTCATTTTGTGGGTATATTCCAAATTAGAAATACAAGAATACTTTTTGGGGCAATACGTTCGAGGAGAAAAAAAAACCAGGGCAGCGGCTAATCTGGTTCAGATTAAAGGAAAACAGAACTAAGAAAAAACCTTACTAACCGGTATAACAACTCCTATCCCAAAGGGAATGATGAAAACTAGTAAGCCCGTACGGTTGTATTCGACTCCAACGGCAATGATTATAACACCGACCATGTGCAAAATAGACGCTGCTCTTGGAGGGACACCAGCTATTGCTATTAGTGTCACCCAGAAAGCAAGAATGGAGCAGAAGAAATCACAAAACTGCAAAACCTGTCAACAGAAATGAATTTTAACAACAAAACATAACACAAAAATTAATTTCTAAATTTGTTTTCATTCATTTTTAACATGATGCAGTATGAGAAATTGTTTTCACTCCCTTGTACAGCGTATCAGCGGCTGCAATTGTGTACGCAATAATTAATAGATGGGTTCTACAAAGAAGCAGAATTTCAGGTAGGGTTTCATGAACTGTCCCTAACATCATATCAAATATCTTCTGATGGTAACTGCTGTTATTTTGTGTATAAAAGTAACTGTTACTGCTTTGCATACAGAACTTTTTATGTGATTACAGTACAAATGGCAAAACAACTATTAAAACGCTACAGTATAACACAAATAAAACACGCATGTTCTAAAATGAGAAATATTTGTTTCGAACCATTATAAGAATTAATGGTATCTCAGTGTAAAAATATTGAAAATCTTTGAACAGAAATATCATATCAAGCTTTCTATTTAATATATTCTTACTTCATATTTTATAACGCAGTATGCATAGAAATCCTGGTCACAAGCATGATAAAAAGTCGAGAAGACCATCGTGGCCAAGTATATAAGCGCTTCAGTAAGCAAATGTCGACGCAGCGCGATAAACACGGCTGGCAGGAAGAACACGTTGCTGAGCGTAAGAAGCAATGTTGTGAGTAGCAGCAAGCTCTCTGGTGTGGCCATACTGCCATCTGTGCAGCCCCAACCTTTGTAACCTAAAACATCATTACAAATATTTCAGATCTAGGAAGAATATAATCACAAACATGTAACATGCCACTTATTTAAAAAAATAAAAATAAATGGCCTTCGTGAAAACAATTACAGCGTTAATTTGTTTTTGCTGTCTTTCGTTATGACGAAGTTGATTTGCTACACTGATATTTTGTTGTACTTTCCAAATACCTATTCTTCTACACTGTTTTCTTCTTCCTACAATGTTTCCACTTTATGTAATTACTGTACAATGTTTCAGGACCCTTCAATGTGGCACTAGCGTCACTTCTACCTCAGAGATGCAATGTCAGAATTATTACACGCAGGAAATTAAAACATCAACTGGATGGGAAAGATATACAGACACAATATGATTGGGAAACTAAGCCAAAGTATTCACAGAAATAAAACATTCACTAACCTCCTAAGCAGGTGCATGACGTAAAGAAGTGGAGACCTTTGTGTGTCTCCTGGCAAATTCCTTTCGGCCCGCAAGGCTCACCGGCAAATACGCAGGGCTGTGTTCGAATATCTAACGACAACATTATTTCCTGGATAAGACATGGCACAATGGAACTGCAAATAAGCACACCAGTAGTTCTTATATGGTTCTGATCTGCATTTCCATTAAGCATTAATCAGGATTTTCATAAGTTCTTATGGCTTACACTCTTATAATAAATATGTTTCTATCAAAGGTAAACTAAATTACTTTCCTTCTTTTCAAATGCTGGGATGGTATCATAAAAGAGACAACAAAAAGATTTGAGGGTTTCACAGTAGTGAGCATGAAGATTTCTGTCTTCTGGGTTGTTGCGCTCCGTAGTCTGGTCGATGTTAACCAACGTTTCAGAGGTCATACTGAATATCATATTCATCGCCCTGATGGTGGAGGCAGTATAACCTCTGAAATGTTGGTTAACATCGACCAGACTACACAGCGCAACAACCCAGAAGACAGAAATCTTCAGACAACAAAAACTTACTTCCAAATTGATCATTCATGACCATCTTGCCATTCACTGTTATGTAACATTTAAACGAGAGAAGAGTCAATTGGGAGGAACATATTAAAATGAATTGTAGAAAACAGAATGGACTGAAATGGCTAACAGCATGGTACAATAGTAGACTTCCACAAACTAACTGCGTGGAGATTTGTCGTTCAGAAAAAATTCCCCACCTTTTTGGGTACTCACAGGTTCACTACTATGTTCATAAGATCCTAATAAGTCTGAAGCCCTGTGTAGCATTTCATCACATGCTAGCTTTATACGGTGAAGAGCTGTTAGTCCCTGCCCAACCCCAAAGTTGGACAACCTCTTGTCGACTGTTTGCAACTGCTTATTCAATATACTTGCAGCTACCCTCTGGAGGCCTTCTCCTCTAACAGCAACCTGAGAATGTGCTATGCAAAGCAACAAGGAATCCACTTAACATGGAGACTTCTGTGAAAACAGTAAACCATGTCTTCAGATACCATGTAACACATACTTTATTGACCGACTGAGCAACTATTAACATTTTAAGCAAGACCCTGCACTGCGACGTTAAAGGAAACACTTACCTGTTATGTAAACATTTTAATTGGAATGCAATGTACCACATATCAGGCTCAGGATATGGCACAAGCTTTGTAGCATCGACCGTCGCTAAACTTTCAGAAGTAACATTCAGCATAAGCTCAAGGGGACACTGAATATTACCACTTCTACGAGAAGGGACCCGTCCTTTCCTAATGCAAGCTGTAACTACTACATGTTGGTGAGTTGCGTTCTGCAAAATAATGGAGATAACTATTAACTATCTCACATTTACAATGGGCACACTATTTCTAAAACTGATCAAATAAATGTACGTGAACAAATTGTTAAATACTGAATAAAAGGAAAACACTAATATTACGTGAGGTACTGTTCTGCAGCAATTAAATATTAGACTTTTGAAAGGCGCCATTATGGATCTCTTTGGATACTGTGCACTGTTCGGATGAAAGACCAAAATCAATTTAAAAAAATTCTTACACTATAAAAATTTCAAGCTGGATCCTACATACACAAACAGTAGCTTATTTCATTCACTCTTAGCTTATTTAACTATGTTTAGATTATACATCACCAACACAGGAACACAGATTGCAGGTGTTTGAGAATAGGGTGTTCAGGAGGATATTTGGGATTAGGAGAGAAGACGGTGGGGCATGGAGAAAACTGCATAATAATGAGCTTAAATATCTGTACTCCTCCCCCAGTATTGTCAGGGTGATTAAGTCGAGAAGAATGAGATGGGCGGGGCATGTAGCACGCATGGATGTGACAAGACGTGTGCATCGGATACTGGTTAGGAAGCCTGAGGGGAAGAGACCGCTGGGGAGACCTAGACGTAGATGGAAGGATAATGTCAGGCGGGATCTATGGGAGATAGGAGTTGAAGGGGACTGGATTTTGTTGGCCCAGGACAGGTTCCGGTGGAGGTCTTTGGTTAATTCGGTGATAAACGTTCGGGTTCGGTAAGCCATCTAGTTAGTTAGTTATATATTTCATGACAAGTAACTTATACTATTCTAACACCTGTGCATAGGGACTGCAAAAAGCTTAATCAGGACAGTTAGTCTCTGGGCTGACATTTAAACACAGGACCTTCCAAATATGAAGAGTGCTAACCACTTGCCTACAACATTCAGTCACAAGAGATGAGTTTTATCAGTATATATAGCATTTATATATGAGCATCTGGCTGCTTGGATTCAACTATGGTTAACAAAATGCATATCTACCACTTCTTAACCTTTATCACGAAGGAAAAGGCAATTTAAACCACTGTACTACAGGGCTGCCAGCTTGACTTCTGCAGAAATTTAATACGACATGCAGGAACCTCATAACACCTCCTTAAACAGTCATATATTTGCCACATCTCGGGGAACATCTTGATTTATGAAACTGTTTCATGCTCTCCTGACTTCGCAACTGCGGTCCTCAACAGCGACACTGAGTACTTCATTTAAAATTATGTTTTGTACACCCTCAAGGCTCCGAAAACCTTAAAGTGAGAAAATCTGTGTAGCTCTGTGAATTATCAATCTGTATTAAATCCCTACATTCAATACCAGCTTATTCAAAACTTACTATTAATAATTCATCCAAATGAATATTAATCTTCAAAGTACCACCAATATCAACAAATGGTAATATTTCTAACTGTACAACCAATGAGAACAAGTCTGTTAATGCTACCCAAGTTGCGTACCATTCTTGACCCTGAAAGAAAACAGAAAACTATAATGAGAATGTAAAAAGCGCAAATTGTTATATACAATAGTTTTAAGGTGACGTCCTTCAAATTCCAGATATAATACCCAATAATCGCCTTTCAATCATCAGTGACATTAAAGTATCCTCTTCTTATCCGTGTTACCAAATTACTCAGTAAGGCAAGAAGCAAAATAAATATACAAACAAACATACAAACGCAGAACAGATGTGGAAAATCTACATATCACGTCAGAAGTAGACCTCCACGTGTTTTACTGGCGCAACAAAGTTAAAAAGCCTTGACAAATTTTGACTGAGCAACTCTATATCGTAAGATTTGAGGTTTTCACGGTGGTGAGTATGAAGATTTCTGTCTTCCGGGTTGTTGCGCCGTGTAGTCTGGTCGATGTTAACCAACGTTTAAGAGGTCATACTGCCTCCGTCATCAGGGCGATGAATATGCCAATTGGGTGGATGGGGCTAGGTTTATAGGAGCCAGACCGTGAATGGAGTAGCCTGCCCTGAGCCAATGGGAGCAGGCGTGGGTGTGGACCAATAGGAAAGCGTGGGCGAGTGTGAGAGAGAGGGAAAGAAAGAAAAGAGAGAGAAGGGTCTGAAATGTTGGTTAACATCGACCAGACTACACAGCACAACCACCCAGAAGACAGAAATCTTCAACTCCATATTATCGCTGAAACTTTGTGGATGCTTCCATGAAGCCATACAGACCTGTAAGAGGAATGTGTCTGCAAAGTCCTCAGCATGTTTAATACGAGCGAGCTGGAAAGTTGGGAGACACGGGTCTCTGAACGACTCCATATCATCACTATAACCATAATCATCATCATCATAATCATCATGACCGTCATCATGCTCATCCTGAGACACGGCCGGAAGGAGGTCTGCACCAGCCATCATGCCGAGGTCACGGTCTTTGCTGCTATTGGCAAACAAAATAGTCCTTGCCCAGTCTGATTTCACTGTCCAGTTGCTGTGCCTTACTGTTACTGACTGAGATTCTGACACTTCAATCAGCTCCTTTGTAAAACTTCTGCCCAGTGCTTGAATAACGCATTCTAAAAAAATTAAAGAGAATTAAGGAACAATTAAAGTCAATGGCCTTATGTTATGTGTGTATCAATGGCAGCATATTATATGTTATGAATATAAACTGTGAATTGACTGAATTTTGAAAGTGGATATAAGCCAGCCATAATATTTAAGAAGATGCAGTAATCAAACCACATACCAATTACCTAAGCACCTACATTACTGTAAAACACAGATAATAAAATATGTGTTATATAAGAACATAAAATAGCCTACAGACTGCCGGAATGCATTTTAATGCTCGAATTCTGCATATTTCCGACTGCTTTTCAGCATTAAAAACAATTACAATTTAAATTTAGGTACAAGATAATGTCATATTTATACAAAAAAAATTATATACAGAATACTGAATGTGCACAGGAACTTCCAAGGCAAGGAGAAGCCAGTTCTCAAAGTTCAATGCGTTCATAATGTCTTTGTTTGCATCTTTGGTCCCTTACAACAGTTGATCATTCCTTACTATATTCATGTTACATTATCACATATAAATAAAATCTTGGTGAGATTTCTGGTTCTAATGGAGGCAGGTACGAAGATGACCGTCTTATGGGATGCTGCGTTGTGTACCACGGTAGAAATTTACTGTTCCAGAGATGCTTTTCCGCATTCATCATCAGGGTAACGAGTAAGAAGATGACAGAAAAAACAGATTCGGATATATGGATGGGCAGTCGATTAATATATATACATGGAGATAGTTAACATCGATGGCCTATTGATAATAATATCAAATTATAATGGGTACAGTATTGTTCCAGAATGCATAAGATATGATTGTGCACAGAATTTTCTTACCTGATGTTGCCACAGCCAATTTAAAACTGACTCGAGATTCTGACACCACTAACAGATAATAAAAGCCATCAGTGAATGGTTCAGTTTCAGTAAATGTAAACGAAGAACCAGTGGTGAGATTTCCAGTACCATTCCTGGGATTGTAAGGCGGTAACGCTCGGGCCCGCAAGGCCATGTTCTGTATGCAGTAAGGCTTCTCAGTATTGCTGCTGTTGAAATGTTTCACTGAACTAACACGAAATTCACAGTGGGAAATTTTTATTGAGAAGTGCCACGTACCAGCAGGGATGAAAATCCTACAAAATTAAACAAAAGAGTAAAATAAAACAAATAAAACCCACTTTGCAGCAAAGGTAAAGTTTGTTACCTTATATTGGGCTACGCTGTGTGTACATTAGCAAAAGCTTTTCTGCCCTCATAAAAGTTTACCAATTCTTCAACATGACTTACTTTTTACACAGTTTTCGGTGTGACCATAACTGATACTTAAATATATTTGAACAGACAATCCAAAAGTAATTATTACAGACACGGAAGTCAAAACGTAGGTCATACTCACTTGAAATATGAAATATGATCAACAGTAATAATAATCTTGGGTACACCAGGACTCACAACAGGAATTCCCATAATATGAGACCAGACACCTACTGATCCAAGGCTATAACGACACTTGTGACCCAATCCCTGTTAGACAAAAGTCACTATGAGGAACTTAACATCAACGATGAGACGCACACATGATCACAATTTATTAAGGAGCAAATTTACCCATTATTATCAACACTACTCTCAAAGTTTAACATATTAAAAATATTCTCCTCACATTTTTTAGGATCTCTCCAAAGTTTTTTTAAAATAATCTTAACAAAATGACACAGCAAGAAATTCCAAGTGTTTCAAAAAGTTTTTGTCAACAAAACTATAATCATAGTTTGTGGCCTTCAAGAGCTATAGACATTGAAATCTCAAACAAAATATGCACTAAAATCATATCATTATGAATACAATGAAAGAAAATACCAAGTATTTGTGGTTCACATAACGACATGTGGCTATGCAGTGCTAAATGACAGTATGATTAATTAAACGAAAATAACATGGAAGGAAGTGAACATAACCTAATTTAAGCTATTATCCTAGAATTTTCCTGGAGGAAATCCACATAAAACAACAATCAGTGTAGCCAATTTCCAGGTCAGAACCTGCCAAACATAAAGCAGAATGCTAATTACTTGACTATGAAATTCAGTGACCTTGAAGCATGAAATGTCGTAAAGGCTACTATAGTGATCTCTCACAGTTATGAGGGACACGAGAATTCCAATGTCAACAAAACACTGTTTTTCCTAGATGTTCTAGACACACTACCAGGCAAAATATATATAACATTCTGCATATTTTTATTCTAGTTTAAGCCTCAAGTGCTGAGAGTTAGGTTATGCATATTTTTATTCTAGTTTAAGCCTCATGTGCTGAGAGTTAGGTTAGGTTAGTACAGTAAACTCTCAATTTAATGGACTAAAAAGGGGGAAGGTGTGTCGAGAAATGCTGACTGCCCGTTAAATTGCACACATTTTTACAATGTCAGTAATGCATAACTTCCATTATGAAGAAACATATTTAAAAAGATTAGTAATATTACACATACAATGACACAAGGTTCATTAAAATACTACACGGTAAATAAATAATTAAGAGAAACAAAAAATCTTTTAAAACCAAAAAATGTCCCTAATGCCTCGCTTCCAGAAAAAAATTTAGTAATACCAGACGGTGTCCATTACATCTGAAATTCGTTAAATTTAGGTTTGTTAAATAAAGGGTTTACTGTAATGTGAATCATACACACCTCCTGCTGTACATGTTGGTTCAAATGTGAAATATATGCTGCCACAAACCAATTCCCAGGGAGAGGGTTGTACACGGGAAAAATAGTCGCATCATGTGGCTGATATCCTGACTTGGTTGTAATGTAGTGCAATGATGTCCTTCCTACGTATACATTTGGTGGAAAAGTTGAATTATCTGGACTCATCACAGGGTAACTGCCATGCTGAATGTAGCTGAAACATTACACAAACACCAGATGCTAGGAAAGAATATCCTATCATACTGCATTTGTAAGTGTTCTGTACTTTACTATTATCCGAAATTAAACTACACTGCTGTTACATTTCCTTAAGGTCCACTTAAATATTATTCTACCACACACACAGTAAGGCCTCCTGAGTAGTCTCTTACCTTCACATTTTCTGATCAAAATTTTGTATGCATTTCTCATGTCCCTCATATTTGGCTACAGATACCTTCTTAATTTTATCATCCTTGGCATTTGGTAAAGAGTACAAATTGTGAAGATCTTCATTACATGATTTTCTCCAGCTTCCTGTCACTTCATCCCTCTTAAACCAACACATTCTCCCCAGCATTCCATTCTCAAACACCCTCAATCTGTTCTTAATGATACACAATGAAAGACTGACTTTGAAACATACAAAAAACAAAAGGCAAATTATAGTTCTGCATGTTTTAATTTATATAATTTTTATATCAGATGTGAAGAAAAAAATGTGTATTTGTTAATCAGCAAATAAATTCTTCACTGATAAAATGCTGTTTCATATTTTGGTTTTGTTGACAGCCAAAAATTAAAGTGATGGCAAGAAAATATGCATAAACTTACAGCCTAACTTGCTATCTAAATAACATAAAATTAAAAGCAAATAACTAAACCACAAAACCAATGTGCCAAAGTAACACTACTGAATAAGTAATTTGTTCTTATAATATAAGCTACTGACATATAAAACTAAACTGTGTATTAAGATTTTCATCTGATTCGACATTTAGGTTAGGTTATATTGATATGAGTTAAAGTCACTATTTGAAGTAAGGAATCCTACAAACAACTGTACCAGCATACACGTATTATTCCAGACAAACTGCAGACAGAAATCTGTATGATCCATAGAAGACTTTGGGATTATTCATACAAATACGTCTCTGCTCACATTTCTCTCCTAAAACAGATCTTATGTTAAAGACTATGTATATGAATGCTCACATATGAACATCTATAACTGGGCAACTGGGATCATCCATAAATGCTGCAAATTCCCATGATGCTCTTACAACGTCTGGTGGAACATTGTAATGAAATAAGGTTACATCGGCATAACTCTTGTATGGATGTAGCATTCCTTCCTGGCTGGCTTCAGGAATGATGCTATAAGCTCCTGTGAAACAGAATGTATTAACACAATCCAAAATTAAACAAACTGTATGCATTCCATGAATCTTGGTTAATTACAAAGTGGTGTAGATCAATATACAAACAAGGACAATTACCAAGCCATAGTAAAACAAGTACACAATAAATGACACACTTTTTACACAAACAAGAATGTTTCATAGGAAATGAATAAGCTTCTATTAATTATATAAGGTTTATAAATCTATCAATAGAATAGAAGATGTGTGACAAAAGTAATACCTTTAATTCTAAATGGAATTTCTGTTAGTAGACAGACTTTCAATTCATATGACAGCTTGTCACATGGCTTAATTCCTAGATAATATATATTTTTTTGGTTCCCCGCAAGATTAAAAACTGCTTACTTATGACCATATAATATGCAATGGTACAGAATTATAACGGCGGAATAGAACGTATAGCAAAAAATCTCTGTAACTGTTAATTTACAGTCAAAACTCATATCACAAATAACAACACCTCTCACACCAAATGAGCATATATACACATTCACAAATGTTTATCTAAGACAACTTACGAAACATTATATGGTTAATGTAATAAATTAAGATTCCAAACTGGCAGTAATTACGGAGTTCGTGTTCTGTTACAAAACTTTACAATAATCCTCCAACTTCCCATTTTTCTGAATGACATTTACAAAAACTTGCATAAAATCCCCAACATTACATTTAAAATTATAATAATGGTCCTGACTACACAACAATTACATAGAAGGTATAAATCATACCCGTTATGCAAGCAACTACAATCAGCCTTAGTTTTAATTTCCACACGAAACTGTCGGACTGTAAACAACGTCCCACCATATTTTCCCTTGAAATATGTAGAGAGGATGTGACGCAACGGAATTCATTCTTTGACCCTATTCAGAAATATTAAGCTGTATGGGGCGCTACCGGAATATCACAAATTAATAGAATGTAGTTTTACACAACAAATATTCCTACAATCCACGATATTGAAAGAACAGAGTTGCCCACATTAATTCTGAATATCATAAATACTAACTTCAAGCAGAATAACTCTTTGATGCTGTGTTAATTTGAAATTTATTCTCGGTTAAAAAGGATTTCTAAATTGTTCAGAACTAGGTACTCCTTGGAAAACAAAGGAACAAGGTCAGTTTCGAATATATATCTGAAGGTGTGTTATTTACTATTATATTATTTATAATAATTAATTTTACACTAAGTGAATTTCATTAGGTCTCAAATATAAATTTTGTTGGAGGATTTGTTTCTTATAATTGCTGCAGCTTGTTCATCCGCTTTGAATTTTTCCTGCTCTGTGTTGAGCTGCATTTGCACGGTTTTTTCTAATCTGCAAAGTGTGGGTGTGAGAAGCACACAAGCTCAGCTTTTAACAAATGAGTGACAGCGGCTGTATAAAAGCAAAAGGTTTCTTTACTCTGAACCCCTCTCTTCATTAATGAAACCTATCCTCTGAAACCTCGGTAAATTTCTACTAGACCACACAGCCGTCTTCCTACTCGCCGCCGTCATAACCTCAAATCCTGCCATATATTATTACATTTAACCATTCCTCCATCATTTGTGAAGAAACCAGTCGAACAAACGAAGCAAGGTTCGCATGTCTCCGGTTATATAAGTCGAATGCTCTGGTCATATTGGGTATGACTTGCCCCACGACATGTTTTGGGCAGAACTGGGAGTTGTTGGATGAAGTGCATACTGTTGTTGTGGGCTGTGCATATAAACGAATGAACTTCAAACATTTTTGCCACTGCAGAATAATTGCCCTAACCTAATTTCGCATAACCAAGGGAGAGAAAAAGTAATGCAATGATCACATTGAATACCAACGGTTCTGGGTTGAACCCAAAAGAAATGACATAACGTTCTTTCAAAACGTTATACACCCAGAAGACAATACAGAACAATAACCCACAAGTCCAGAATCTAAACCAACATTAACATGAAAACAAAAATCATAGACCATTACAGGTATGAAAAATAAAGGCCTTGGCCTTTTAAGAAAAGAAGGTTATGTGTTACAATAATATATATAATTATATCACTCATTATATTTCTAATCTTTATTTCTCCATTACCATCATAACATGACCAGAACTCCATGGTCTGAAAAAGGATATTGCCCATATACAAATTTCTTGTTTATAAATAAGATTTAATAGTATACCAAAATATATTCCACAAGTTAACACTTTTCAAAACAAAAGAAAAACAAATACATTATGAAATACATACCATATAGGTAGAGTTCTCCAGCTGTTAAAAAGTAACATTTATGTATGTCAGAAAAGTGATACATGAATTAGAAATGCAATAGATTCCCACTGACAACCCAGAATTGTTCATTAAAACTTGCCCATTATGCAAGGAATATGGTAACATTCACTTCATTATATTAAAATATACATTTATGGAACATTAAATGCAGCCAACTGTACCTGATATAGTGTTCATTACCAGCTAAATATACAGTACAGAACATTCCTTTGTATTTACTTACATTCTGTATACTGCTTTAGTTTATTTAAATGTTATTAATACTCGATAAAATCTTCTCGGTCAATCAGCTGAGAAGATTTTATTGATTGTACTTGCCGCGAAAGTCTCAAATCCCATATTATTAATACTACTGAAAATTGAACACTGATCTCACTAACTGTATTGCAGCGATCACGGCCACAGTCTGTTCTACTGAATATTGTTGTTGAGTGGTTACTTGAATATTCAGGAGAACCCAAATTCAAATCTTGGCCCAGAGACCGACTATCCTGAATGGGTGTTTTTGTGATTTTTCTTAATATCACCAGTAAAATCTCTGAAGAGAAAGTGATGTGACCAATTCCTTTCCAATTCATTAATTATTCTATTGTCTGTCACTGTATAAAGCAACTGTAAGTATCATTAATGAAACCAAAAATAGATAAAAATAAAAGAATCTATTTTGAATCTATGCACCTTATAAACCTTGTGTAATGCCAGAGAAGACGCTGTTAGATACTGTATGAGAATTCTTGTATTAATATATATCCACCTGAACTTAAATCCCAGCCTGTCTTTTCCATCAGTCAAACATTGAAATAAATAAATAAATAAATATGTCTGTAGTTATATAAGGCAACTTCTGCCACCTTTACAATTCTCTCGCCCCCTTCCGTTTACATGGTATGAAATTGCATTTTTCTTTCTTTGCTGCTGCCTTTCGAATACGCTGAAGTTGCTTGCTCAGGGAAGGAGGTAACAAAATCTCGAGCACTCTGAAATAAGAAAATTGTCAAAAAGGACAGATAGAGAGATTCTGGCAAATAGGTTAAAAAAAACAGTGTTTCAGAAGAACATAATGTCTCGAAGATGCAGGCAGTATGTTCACAGGAAACTCAAATCTGTTATGAAAATAAAAATGATAGGAAATTCGGTATAAAATAATGACAGTACAAAAAACATTCATTTTTACCTCATTGGTTTCTTGTCCAATCTCATCTTTCGAACGGCACGCCCAACTTCGCATGCGATTCTCTCGGTACAGTCTTTACCATTGATGCCATCTAGAATGAGTTTGGTGAGGGTTGTAAGTTCATCGGGGGCATGTTTAAGAGCCGAGATTCCTCTGGATCGAAGATTTCCAAACTTTGGGAAGAACAAAACGGAGAAGGCAAACATGAGCGCCATTCCAACAAATCCAGCAACTGCCATGAACAGAGGCTCTACACTCTTATTTGTTCCTGAATCAAAAATCATCATTGCGGTAGGAATCATTGTAGCCATTTGGGATGCTGGTTTGCTTGATGGAGCAGGTGTATTTGTTTGTTTTACCTGTCAATAGAAAAAAATGTAAACAAAAGTATATTTTTTGTGGTGACTAATATGTTATGGTTTGAGGTTATGAAATTGAAGTCTCACCTGACACTGTATTTTCATACAGGCAGGACATCTACTGAGACATCTGTCTCACTGACAAACAATTTTATCATTCACTTCTAAAGGGTTTGACGACAGTACATTACACTTAAGATTATTCATTGTCAGGAATTTTTCCATCGTCTATTCTTTAAAACCCACGACATTTCGGAGGCTGGTTCTGAAACGTCGTGGGTTTTAAACAATAACCGTCGGAAAAAGTCATGACAATGAATAATTTTAAATTTATCATTGCCACCATGACAGAACATAATGTTGCATTAAAAAAAACTATTCCAGAAATGTTTTATGAGAAATGAGAGACCATCAACAACTCCACATTTGACCCTTATGGGAATCATTAAAGTTTCCAAGTGCTCCAGAAACTATAACAACAAAATATAAAAGTAAAATTAATTTTAAACTGAATCCTTATTTAGTTTGAAAGATCATTAATCAGTAATCAATTATGATGCTGATGATACAGTATTTAGCATTTCTTTCTCAGCTACTGAATGATCAATTTTAATTTAAATAAATCAGTACCTAATCAACTGTGTAAACTTAAGTATGTGACTATTTTTTCTCTATTAATTTGACTAAGAACAAATACCTCATTGGTCTTGGTTGATTCAGTGTCAAAACTCTTGATAGGGTAGAAATAATAGTAATATCCTTGATCTTCCTGTGCATGATCCTTGTTCACATTCAGACTACCAAACAAATTCTCAAGCGCCTGCATTCCTTGAACGGAGCCAGATGTCATGCTAGCCAAATCTAAGATGGCGCCCTTGTTCACTGCTGCTTGGTAGAAAGCTGTCAGCTCTTCTTTTGATAGAGGTTGTGGTGGTGGTAATTTTTCTTTGGGATGTTCTGCAGGACTCTGTTCTAGCTCTGTTTCTATCTGAAATAAAAATTCTTTTGAATCAGTTTGAGGTCCTCACAGTAGCTAGTTTGAAAATGGCTATCTTCTGGTTGTAGTTCCATGTAGTCTAGTAGATGTTTACTGATGTTTCAGAAGTACTTGCTCCCTCCATCATCATTGCCTTGATGATGGAGGCAGCAAGTACCTCTGAAACATCAATAAACTTCTACCAGATTACATGGTACTACTACCAGAAGATAGCCATCTTATTTTGAGTAGGATCATGGAGAAACTTATAACCTTAATTTATTTCAATCCCTAAGTTTCAGAAATTACACAATTTGGCATACTATTTAACTTAATAAATATATATATATATTATTTCTGATCCATTCACTGCTTGCCTATGAGCCGAAGAAAGTAATGTCATGTACTATGCAAAGGTGAAAAAGGGCATAATATATTTTGCAATTTCATTGCATTGATAGTTCGTGAAAATTTATCATTTATATTACTTCAGAGAGTGCTCAGTATATAAATTATCTCAATGAATAATTAAGTGATTAAAGCCATTCAAAAGCTTTAAACCTACAACTGGAAGAGGAGTTGGTCCCATGATTTTCCCTGCTGTGTCGTGACGCTCCGGAGTACTATATGCTGTGTCATCCTCAATGTTATTCCACAGGGCCGATGGCTCCAACCGTTCACTTTGTAGCTTACTCATAACAGACTTGAGGTACTCTGCCCCAATTTCTTCACACTTGCTTGTTGGAATTAAAACTGTGTTCAATATTACTAGTACAAGCACGCCCCACATGCTGGAAACAAAATATTGCTTTCATGGTACATTTCAGGAATATATAATAATAATAATTATTATAATTACAACAATGGACAACTTTTTTGTTGGTGGTTACCTGACAATGTAGGAATTAATTATTTTAATGTAAGCAGAAAACTATCTCGTAGAATAATTCAAATTTCTATAATGTCATATTGCAAATTATAGAAGAGAGAGTTTTGAGGTTATCAGGAAATATTTGAGCTGCAAAAATACCTCAGCAAATAATATTTATTCATGGTAGATGGTGGTATAAACGAAAGAGGGGGCTAAACCCCAGGTAGTCAGCATTCTGTAGAATGGGCTGGGTGGTATGCCCAGGGTGTGCCAAGCCTGGTTGGGAGTAAGAACACCTTTCCCATCTTGTTAGGTTATGTCATTAAAACAGGCGGAGTTGAATTATGTGACGATTTGTCTGTAGTAGGCCGTTCTGCACGGGTCTCCCCAAAAGTAATTAAATGTAACATTTTACTTTGTTACTTTCCTTCTCATTTTTGCTGTGTTCCTTTTCGTATTTTAACAGTTCTTTGTAGATGTGTCGAACAACCACCGCCCTCTCCATGCTTTGGTGTTTACATAGCGTCTGCCCAATTATGAAGTAATTTCCATCCCTTATATATTATTATTGTGGCGACACACGAATTATGATGCAATCGGCGTACGGACACGAAGGTCGCTTCCCGAACAGGTTTTGTATGAGCTGTACTGTTACACAGTTAACTGGATCACCGGATCATGCTTCTTTATCCCGTAGTTTTTTTTTATATAAAATACATATTTAAGTTTAATGACGTCTGTGGATGTAACGTCTCAGTCTAAACCACGGATCTAAACTTCAGAACTACGTACGATTTCTCGTGCAATTCTTGGTTTTACGTTTTTGTTTTGTTTTGAAAATAAAATCCCATCACCCACTTTTAAAAATTGAGAGGAGGAAACCACTAAATAAAACTTCAGTGGATGTAGTTTGTTTCTGGGCTGAGATTCGAAACCCAAGAGCAGTGAATCTATATTAGAATTCCTGTTCACTGCACAACAAGTTTCTTAATAAGATATTGTTTGTGTTTTATTAAGCTCGACGCAGTGCATATTTATGGGGGAAATTGAAGTATAACTTCACATTCTTAACATCGACACGTGATGGAGGTGATTGGTTAGTTTAACGCCCAGGTCATTTCAACCTCGAGGGGAAAAAACTGCCGTTCCCACTAGACAGGAAGTTGGGCGAGCATCATGGCCGGTCTGGACGTTGTGACGTAGAAAGTAATCCTACCATGTCAAGAATCAAACTACAGTCCTTCAGTCAGCAACCTAGTCACGCTCTAGGGTATCTTTGGCCTATAGCAGGAGTTCTAAAAATGTATTTCTCTGACTGGAAATCTACAGTTCCATTATACAGTGTTCACTGATAAAGTTTAACGCATTTATCGTCTTCTATCTCATAGTTAAGTAGCATCTAGCATCTGACTCTCCTTCGAGAAGTCCTGTTAAATACCAGACCGCGAACCAGCTGTTACTTACGTAAAATATTGACATAAACAAACACATCGGTCCACTAAGATTTTCATAACGAAGCAGATTTATGCTCAGTACGTTTATGAAACTTGACTTATACAAAGGAAACTTGCCTAGACACCGTAAGTGGCAACCAAGTGGTTAACATCTTGATTTATATCCAGTACGTTCCGGGTTCAAACCTCGACTTGGAGAACAGCTGTCCTCGCTTATATTTTCCGTGGTTTAACTCAGTCTCTCCAGGTAAATTCCGGGCTAGTACAGTAAATTAGGCTGTTCCATCATTAGACGCAACGTCTGATCTACTGACGGCGTCATTAAACTATAAATAAATAAATTATATACGCGTGTATGAGATATACTACTTAAGTGTGTTACTGATTGTCACTGTGATGTGTTGTTCAAGTAGATCATTATGTAACTAGACCAGAGACGTTAGCGACAAAAAAGATTAAAGTGTTTTGTTCCTTTCTAAGAACATCCGTAAGCTATTCACAATATAGCCTCTGAGAAACGACACAGTTTCTTCTATTCAGAACCTGATCAGAATTCTTCGTGGAGCTCTGCCGTGTTCCTGGAGATCAGCGACTTAGCCACTACTCTACTTCTTAAGCAGTTCCTTCTGTGTGAAGTCATCAGACACGAATTGAAAGCGTAGTCAAAATAAAATGGTTTTAACAAGTTTTGTTTTATCGCGGTAAACAACGACTGGACTTTGAATGATTTGTATAAAATTCCAGAGATGCCACAAAAGAAATTATAGGCTAAACTCTGACATCTTACTTGAAGATGGTAAAGTTGCGTCATATTGTGATATAATAAATATATATTATTTAAATCTTGTCCGTCTAATCACAATAATTCTTATTAAATATTAAAATATTACAATAATTAACATTGGAACATTTAAAATATTTAAAACATTTAAAATATCAAATCATGTTTCAGTACCTACATGAAACATGAAAAATGATGGTCTAATGTAAATCGAATATTTCGATAAAGAACATCATTTAATATTTTAAATATTTTAAATGTTAATTATTGTAATATTTAATAAGAATTATTGTGATTAGACGGACAAGATTTAATATATAATATATCTTACTTGAAATACATTATTTTATAATTAGTTCCCCTTTTAATCTTTATTAATTTAGCTGCAAAACAATTGTAATAATTACGAGGCGACAGATTCCTCTCTATTTTAATTCAGATTCATTAATAAGTGTATGAATATTTTATTGTAGATTAACGTTTCCTAAGACATGTTGGAGGGAACTCCACTCCACATACAAAACTGTTACAAAAAATGAAATACTTCATTTAAAGCTATTTAAACGCAATATCCTTATTTTTAAAAACTTCCCCGACAACAGATAAATCACCCCATAGAAATAATAACTGATGGCAATACGAAATATTTAAGGATTATCAAACGTCTTGCCAAGGAACTGTGAGGGAAAATCTAACAATTACGTCTTAAAAATTATTTTTCATTTCCAAAGGTACAGAATGTTGACCACATTCACGAAAGAAACAAATTATTCGATAAGTTTTAAACAATCGCAAATTAGAATAAAAACTATTTCGAGATTTATATCGATTTTGCGAGAGTAACGAATTCACTATAACCTGCATGCATCTTTTCCTGGGCATAAAAATTACTAGCAGTCCATGTAGCCAGTCGAGTGTGTTGGAAATAACAGTTAATTTTTCATGTTATTTGTTTGTTGTAATTTATCTTTAAATAATACACAAACACAAATTTAAAAAAATGCAAGGTAAAAATTCAACTCTTAAACGTATTTTTATTCTTTGAAATGACAGTGACGCCATCTTCACGCCCAGTTCATCACACTTATTTCCTGAGAATGAATTATCATCATCTAACTGCAGTTAAATATAATACTCAAGACCTAACAGAGGTTGGAAATCCTGAAAGATTCGCGTAATGAAAGAAATATGTTCATGGCCTAAAGTTTGAAGGAAAAACCACGCATCACAATGATAATAAATAATAAAAAAATATCAAACTTATAGTCGAAAAGGCAGGACCTACTCTGGAGGTTATATTATCATCGGTAAGAATATTAATTACCAATTATGACATTCGAAGGACACGTAACTGTAAATATTTCACACACAGATTAGCCCATATTCTTTGAGACTTTCTCGATTTTAAAAAGTCTTCACGAAATACTTAAATAATTACAGATTCTAATCTAATTATCCTTATTCAACTACCAACTGTCTCATCTGGTATCCCTAATAAGAGAAAATCTATAAACCAAAATAAAATCACCATAAAGCAGTTTATTTTACCATATAAACAAGATCACGTGCTCCTCCTATTGTACGAAGTAAGAGTTACCCACTTCAGAAACATTTATCACTTCAACAAGAGTGAGTCCCGTTAAACTACAGAATATTCTTTTTATTTCAATACTCTCGAAACAGAATTTGACGGCGTTTTGACTTACCTTGAGCTACACAACACGGCCTCGCACTCCGAGTCTTCAAATGATACTGTTTGTTCAGTGGTTCAACAGTAACCCTTCCCCCCAACTACTAGCATGACCTGGGGCGGACCAGGATGACTTCACCTTATCTGGAACGTAATCAAATAAGAGCATCCTCAAAATACAATTTATTTAGATTCGACTATCAATCACAGGCCCAAGCCAAGGATGTATAAAACATTCCACAGCATTAAAACAATACTTGTTTCTAATACAAGTTAGCCACGGTGGTCTAGCGGTTAGAACGCTGGCCTTGTAATCCTGGGGGTCTCGGGTTCGATTCCCGGCGGTGCCCGAATTTATAACTTGTGTTGGGCAAGGCCGTGGTCTAGGCAACACGGAGTTTTCCTCCGTGGCATCCCAACAATTACTCCATTCACACACAGAAGAAGGCAATGGCAAACCACTTCTGGATCATCTGCCAAGAACGTATATGAACAGGTCCCAGTCCGAGAAAAGGATGGAAGGATCCTGTTCATATGGACCTGTCGTCAGACAGAACACTAAATAAATAAATATAAATAATACAAGTTACAATGTTATAACAGCAATTTAAAATCAACTACATTATTACGCAAAACCAATTCCATAAGAAGTCATACCCACTATTGGTTGCACGTAATAACAGCTGAGAATTTTTGTTTGAGGTAAATTCTTCAGATACTCTTTTAGTGGTGGTTTAAACTTCTTTATACAGTGATTCAGACTTTTTATGATTGGGGGGGAATTATTTAATAGTTTAATTCAAGTATGCTCCTTCTATGACATTTACGAACTTAGTGCTTGGCATATAGAGATTATGTCTGTCTTTTATACTCACATTTTGTAAATTTGTTTCAAATTTCTTAATGTTATCCAAATGACGAGAGCAAAAATTCGCTGGCTACTGGAAGAATATGAAATTTCTTAAACAATTCCCTATATGAAGCTCTTTAGTGCCTTAGTTATCCAGGTTTTTCGTATTCTCATATTGGTCACTACAGTTGAACTGATAACACTCAAAATGGTTATTGGGGTCAAGTGAGAGAGAGAAAGAGAGAGAGAGAGACTCATTTACGAAGGGATTTGACCTTCCTTCGTCATTTCTCGATGAACAGAATAAGTGGCGGGGACATGAAGTTCCACTCGACTTAATTTTTACGTATTATGACATCTGGAGCGTAGCTCATGTATTTCCTGGTTTTTATCACCTGTAAATGTGATCAGTCACATCGCTTGTTAAAGTTATTAACCCTTTCAAGAATAAGTTCCTACATCAAAGAAATCAAAACTTCTCCATTATAAAAATCTGTGAAAAAACCCGCCATTTATGAAAATCATACCAACCTCTAAAAAACATACTAACGACAAAATGGAGTCTTAGATTATTAAATAAGGTGGTTTGCATTGTTACCAATGGGCTCTAAAAGATACTTTTTTAAAGTCATAGTCTGCTTGCAGGAACTATGAATATTTAAATCACAATTTCCGGTCTCAGGGCCGAGGTTCGATTCCGGAATGACTCCAACATGAATGTGTGGTAATTACATCTTCATATATGCTCGGTGCGTCACAGCTCAATTTAATTTTGTGCTGTTTTAATCACGTAAGATCGGTCTCATTTTGAGGAAAGTATTTCTTTGTCACAGAGAATTATTTTATAGGAACTGAAAACAAACATCAAGACGTAATTTTGAACATTGATCACAATATTCTTCTTCCGGAAGGGCTGATCGCAGACTGGACGACCGAGGTCAAAGTTGGGAAGTTACACAAGATAGTTCAGAAGGCAAATGAAAACTATAATATCGAACCTGTCTGGCTATAACAGCGGTATGTTGCAGAAGCATACATCGTAACATTAAACATCACTCGACATTTAATTATTTTTAGAACTGATACGAAATTTCCATCTACCTCCTGAACTGTAATGAATTAATCATAAGAAGACGTAACATGTAATCGAATTTATTATCGATGCATGACAAGAAACATGAACTGCATCATTAGTAAGTAGTACAAAAACTAATAATTATGATTAAACGTGAAAGACAAATGTAAATGTAATCATTATAAAATTCTACACAATTAACAAAAAGTGAACACAAATAGGGGATAATGAAGAACTCGTGTACAATGTTATCTTTGTTCTTGTACTTAATAGTCCCTGGTAAAATGCATATTATTCACTATTCAAGATGGGAGGCTTCGTCGTATGGAACACGCAGGCTTCCATTTTCAATTTGGCATTAAGGCGACATATGCATGCAAAATTCAACTGGAAAGGAATAATTATAATGAAATGCATCATTAAAAGGCGTTCAACTTAAAAGTTAATTCTATTGAAGGCACAGGAAACTTTCGTCTCTATACTAGCAATGATGAGTTTTCTTCTCTAGATTATTTCTGCCTTCCGTCTGACAGTGAATTCAATTTCCACTTCAACATTGCTCAACAAAGTAGAAATGCCGATCAAATTCAATAAATTATTAAACATCCAGATGATGATTTCAGGAACAAACCATTTATCGATCTCTTTATCGACGTGCTACGAATGTTTATCGATTCTGTCGATACCTCGAATACACGTTGTCTGCATGATCCTTACACACTGAAATACTCAAAATTCAGTATTCGTCATTTATAATGAAAGTCATCACCTGTTGTCGTATAGAAAATATAACAGAACTAATAATAATAATAACCAATAATTTAAAATAAATAAAATAAAGCATAATGAAGCAGCCAAATTCAATGATTCGATCGAATGAAACGTAATGAA